ACATTGGGCTCCTACAATACGGAGCTAGTCCCCAGGGAGTGTCAGGTCTTACCCGTTACCAGCAGTATGGCCGGTTCTTCTACATTCCATCAGACGATCCCCATATCCAGACGGACTTCACCATGACAGACGTCTACTTCCCAGATCGTGCTACTGTGTCAGGGGCAGACCATCGGCATCTTCAGGCCACGCTTCACACCGCTTTGTGTGCGCCTCCTGAACGCAGATTTCGTGTTCGTCTTCCAGAGAGGTGTTGTCGGCTCCTGGAGGAGCGTTATCGTTGGTGGATAGAATATCACGAGTCGCAGAACAATGTCGATATCCGCCTAGCACCAACTAGCAGGTCCAGGGGCAAGGATGTCCGCATAGTGATCCGACATTGTCATTGTCGATGGGGGAAAGGAGACTCTGGATTTCTCAGCGTCACGGTCGCCGTGAATGGGCAGCAACTTGAAGACCATAGTCTTCCACACGAGATGGACCATCCTTCGCACATCTGCTCCTGGCCGTTCTATCATGGCTGTGCTTCGAGGACGATAGAGGGGATATTGAATGCTGGATTGTTGAGCTCGGCTCCCGGGGGGGACCTGGAGCTCTCCTTCACTTGTGTTAGGCTGCTAAATGAGCATGTCTATGAGGTGAATTTAACCATAGGTACGTGTTTCAGTGAACGTCCTTGCAAACATTTTCTGATGCAACATCTATTAGTTCCAGTGGATAAGTCACCTGGAGTATTCATGCGAATGACCACCCGCGCGAAGAAGACATTGAAGACCGGAACCTCCAAGCTTCTAGGCTCCTTTGCTGGAAATTAGTATAACGGAACATGTCATGCAAGAGTATCCTTGCAAATGTATCAAAGGTACTGCTGAGAATCTACGGAATTGCGCGGCGATTATATATCTTGCCTACGGTTATGGTCATGCTGATGCTGGACTGTATGATTTAACTTGACATGGGACTTGTCAACGAAGGTGACGATATATGAGGAGGCAGCCCCAGGCCTGGTGTGGCGGCGACGCACTCGCGTGGGCGCTCAAACGACTCGACATTCGAAACCGCTGTCAGTGTGATGCTGGTCTGTCCTATGCCTGTTTAGACCTCCCACATCTCCAGCCTCCATCGTCTTCGAGCTCACCTCCCCGACCCCGACTCTGGTCGTTCAACTTGCCTCTGCGGCCAGATCAGACTGGGAATCCAGTGTCGTCAAGAATTCATGATGTATACGTTGGAGGCTCTGGCCGCTTTGCAGTCATCCTTTGAGGGGCTCTGGCACGCGCAACTGCGTGGGTCACACCCCGCGTATCGTCTAATTCAGCGATGAAGCGATTCCAGACGATTCGTCGGGGATCCCTGGAATGCCGCGAGATTCCACAGTGAAGACTACCTCTTATCTGGTGGTATCCCTAGGCGGGAACCACTGATCTTGGACGAACAACTTGGCGAAAGATAATCCACCCAAGCTCCTTACCAGGCTCAGTGAGTGTTTCATCGACAGCCAGCTCATGTCTCCGTCTCCTGAAGTTCCGATGTGGCCTGGCGTCCCGTTAGGGATTCCCTTTGGAGGCCTGGATGAAGCATGTGAGTGGTCGATTTCAGACGGGAGTTTGCGCGTTGCTCAAACAGCCATAGTAGGTCACCCTGCCAGCCCCAGTGTAATGCCAGCAGAAGGGGCTCGCATATGGACTTGGGTCGCCTCTTCCGATCCAAGCGGTAGATCTGAAGTTTTGCCCCAAACTCTTGAAGACGCCTTCTGCGGGAGACCTTTGGGAGTGTCGCTTGCAGGTAAGCCGTCATGAGTTCTGATCATTTCATCTCCCAAAATCGCATCGTCGCCATGTCCATGCCCCGTTGGGTACTGAGTACACCGAGAGTACACTATTGTAGTCTGATTCCTCGTGCTACTGCTCCTTGTGACATGCTTGGAAGCACCGAATCCGGTGGCTGATCGTCCTTGTACGATCTGCCCGGCCTGGCAAGCTTTGGCGCTTTGTCTGACGAATTCCGCAGGTTGCCACAGTACGAGGCATTGCAGGTGGATCCAGATATGTGACCCACAAGAATCAAATCGAATCGAACCGTCTGCTTGACACGATCAAGGCGATGCCGAACTCGATGGAGGCGTTGCGTCTAGGGCTAGGAGGACGCCGTGTATTGGCGTCATGGAAATCGGGGTTAATCGGGTCCCCAATTGCTGCTCATGCCAGCGCTACCATGTACGTCGCAAACACCATGTCTGCTTGCAACCTGTTGCAGCTGGTCTGATTCAATCATTGATAGACCAACAGCTCTGGCGCAGCCCATACTGTCCTCGGATGTAGGGCCGCCCGCACTTTTCGCCAAAAGGGGTTAACCAAGCTCTGGAACGCCAACTGACCAGGCGCAAGTTTGTCGCTGGTGTCTCTGGGCCGAGGACTCGACCTCTTTACTTCAAACTTCGTGAAGGGGTTGCCATGGTTACGATGCTCAACCCACTGTTGTCTCGAGGTAAGTACTCTTCCGTCCCTGTGGTGCACTATCAGTGATTACCAAGCGCGTCGTTCCTACAGACCACCCGTGCTAGTCACACCGAGGAGACTTGGGCGTGAAGGGTCGTCGTATCGGCCAGCCTATTACGCTCGTACAGAAGCGTGCAGGTCGCTTGGCAATTCCCTTCAGCCGTACGTTGAGTAGTCCCTCAGCGCAAGACTCCTCGCTACAACGTCGTCGGCGATCTCGTCGTCCGCAGGTACGCATCGGGGAAATAGGAGATCGGCATCGACCCGCCCTCGAGACGAGAGGGTGGACCGATTATCCCGCTTAAACAAAGACGTAGGCGTTGCATAGTGTACGCGGCAGAATGCTGCCAGGCTGCCAGTGGCAATTGCCGTTCTGCCAGCGGGCCTACGCTGACAAGTATTGACAGATATCATTACCTCCCATGCAAGAAAGCGGTCGTAGGGGGCGGTTCACGCGGGATTCCGATGCCTGGGTGCTCGTACCAAAGCACCGCGTTTTGTGGACCCCAGACGATGCTGAGTGGTCTCACCCTGTTCTCTAGTAAGAGTGTGTTCGGCGCTAAAACAATGAGGAACAGCCTACGCCGCGCTTCATGCACTACACCTTCCTAGGAAGCTGGGTAGACTCATCCAAGGCCGACTGGTAAGCTTCCAAAAGCTGCGGGTGCTCCCTCGGGCACTCTGACGAATGTATGTCAAGGGGAACTTACTCCAGACTCGACGTCTCTCTACGGAGGCGGCGGTCTTAGATATTTGCCAGTTTCTGCCGACCTTGGCAATTGCCATATTGGCCATATCTGCCGGCATAATAGCCCCAAACATTTCTGCCATATACACTAGCGTTGCAGCTCACAAATCCCTTGACACGCTTCCGCTCGAGGATCCGGTCCGATTATCACAGAGGCGCTGCAGGACAACAAGAGGTCGCGTGGAGGACAACAGAACATGAGCAGGCGCGTCACATACGGTACCAGTGAGTGGGCAGCACGATGGATGGTCTGGCTTGTTGTTGACATCATAAGGCGGAGGTCCCGTTGCCGCCACGCTCAGTGGCAGGCGAGAGGGACTTGTTCTCTACTCTGCGCGATTGATGCGGCCGTTCTTTACGCGCTTGTGCGACTGCCGGTGGCCCGGAAGGTCGGTAAAAGCAGAATCGGCGTTGCGGTGGTTAGGCTGACGGGGACTCGATTCGTTGAAGCGACCGCCTCTATCCTGCTCAGTGACTGCAGGCGGGGCCAACTCGTTGATGGGTGCGTTCGATCTGAGATAAATGGTGATGCTGATAGCTGACAAACGAATAGCCGGGAGCCCTGTCAACTATGTAAATTTCGAGGAGCTCATCACCCGGGGTGGGAGCAAAGACGTCACCGCTACACGTGCTCTGGTCAATGTCGATATCATCCAGCAGATCGGCAAGCAAATCAGCGCAAGTCCATACCACGACGTCCAGCCAATGCAGTCCTCGCCAATGCAGTCCTCGCCCGCTATAGGTCGGCACCACCAGCGAGGTGTTTCAGCGACGCTGTTGTGGATTCTTCTTTCTGCAGCACGGATGGTGTGATACTGTACAAGGTGAGTTCACCGACCAACCGCTCGCAATAGTCGTATTGACAAAGTTCTGTCTCCAGGCGCGCGCCCGTTTTCCTGCGGTTCCATGTCGTCCCCACGCATGATCGAGATAGCTAGGCTCAGCTCTTCCGAAGCGCTCCAAGGGCTCGCAGGCTCCGACCCGAGCTAATCGTTACCCCGGCGCAACCACATGTAATTTGAGGAGGAGGACGGGATTTGGGAGGGTTTCTCGAAGGGGAGCAGAAGTGGGCACAGGAGTGATAGCCCGACAGGGACGTTGAGCCGTGAGTGTTTCTTGTAACCCTTCCCTCCAGTTTTCTGGGTATAGAGCCGGGAGAGGCATCGAAGTCGTAGGAAGTGGGGCTTCCCAGTGCGCACTGGACACGCGCCGCCTCCGTAGAATTTCACGTCGACATGTCAGCCTCGTCGATCAGGTACGCTGACGTGAAGTGTCTATTGCAGGAATCCAGCAAGAGCGGCCAGTACGCCGCAGTGGAGGTCGTTTTCCAAGAATCTGCTCAATTCCCGTGTGTCCCTCCATGATCTAGGCGAGGAGATGGACCGCCCCCTGCACAGTATCGCACGCGAGGTCGTGGACATCGAGCTCGCCGAGCACCCGAACATGCATCTCGACGACGTCTGCGATGGACCGAGGTACGCCTCATTCTTGAGTTGGTCAAGTAGCGTCATCCTCCACGCTCTTCTTGTTGCCCCCGCCCCTATTCGAGGACGGGGATCTCCCAGTGCTCCTAGACAAGGCCAAGGCCGGCAGATTCTCCATCCCGCACGATGTCGACGCTCGCGCGCATCAATTCACCTGGCGGAGGCTCGAGGATGTCAACAGGCGCATCATCATCCCCGAGATCCTCCGCTACCCGTTCCACAAGATCCAGAGGCTGAAGCCCATGTTTTTTGGCGCCTCGAAGCTCGATGAGATCGCGTCTTCTGACCAGTAGGGACGCGATCGACTATGGCATTCGCGAACGAACCTTGCGCATCCTGTGGCTGAGGGCAGAGGACGAGCAGATCCAGGCGCGCTCCATGGAGGAAAAGCTGTTTGGGAGAAAGGGGTGTACCGGCTGCTTATGCAGTACCGTGCGAAGCACTCGGGATGACTATGACGAGGATCGGGAGAGGGCGCTCGCGGAGAGGCTGGAGATGAGACGCAAAGCCAAGTAGGATGCGAGGACCCGGGAGCGGAATCACCGAGCCTACGCCAGGAGCGGGACCATCGACGTCGACGCGTTCGGACGGGCATCGTTTGCAGGTCCCCTTCCCCGTCGCCAACGAGGGCACCTAGTAGGATGCGGAAGGTCTCCTTCCTCTCCTTGATGGATTGTAGTCTCTCGCCCTCGACATCTACGCCTGCTGTGACCCGTGCGCCCTCCCCTCATCCGCTTTCTCCACAATCTCCCCGTCCTCAGCCTCATTCCTCCAATAATCTGATTCGTTCTTCTCAGGATAGGGGTTAAGCAGGAGAGGCAGCCGAGCATTCACCGACGCAATGGGCTAGACGTAGCCATATAGAACGCTTCGGTCAAGCCACACCCCACATGCCCACAAGCAGAAGAAGACGGCGACACTTTACGATCCTCGCTCAATGTCTCTACAGCGTCAATAGGCAGCGTACCACCGCAGCGAGTTCCGTTTGCGCCGGGGAACACGACGAAGATCCTCGCCGATCTTCGGGCCGGCGTACTGAATGCGAAGAATGCGCTGAAGAACACGAAGGCGCATTTGCGCGTGAGTTGGCGGCAAATGAGCCAGTTGACGAGACAGACGGAGGACATGAAGGAGGTGCTGGAGCGGCTGAGGCTGGAGAACGAGGGTCCTGAACAGCGTCGTTGTGGGGAAAGAGCGGCTGCTGCCGGAGTTGCGCCCCCCTCTTGAACGCCCACGGAAAGCAGAAGCAGAAGTGCACCCGTTGAAGTCATAGCTCAACCGCGAGACCGCGACCTCCCCGAAGAGAGGGGCATCAGTCTTCCACACAAGGCCAGTCCGGATAGGTGTAGCTTCGGAAGTATTGTCAAGTTGCTCTCGAGTCTCAGTATTCGTCAGTCTCGAAGTGCCCCGTACTCCTGGAAAGCAGAGCATCGCTCGGGTGGACGACTTCAAGACCGTTCACTTCGACCCTTTTGCGATTGTTAAGCACGCCGTTCTGGTCACAGCCTGGGAAGTGTGGGCCTGACGACTGGAGAGGTCCTCACACATGTCGAGTCGGTGGGTGTCTTCTGTGCAGGTAGGTTCTGTTAAGCGCGATAGTCACCCTGTTCTTGGTGACACCCAGGCCACTCCTGCCGAGGTCCATCGTGCTCTTCAGCAATCGAGAGGCATACATGGTCAAAAGGGGCGTCCCCACACTGAAGCGGATCCGGGAGTCACTAGCGGCCAAGGTGTGTCCTTGCAGCTATCTCATGCCTCATTCTCATATAATACCATGCTGCTCGCATCTATCTTGTACTAGAAGAATGCCTTGGGCGTCCTCGTGTCCTTGTAGATTGGGAAGATCCCGACAGGGGGGAGGGCAAGGTGCAAGAGTTCATTGACAGTGTGAATTCCCGTACGCCCATTCTGATATCCGGCTCAAGCATGCTTCAAAGCGGATCGTGGTGTTCGATTGTCTCTTGTGATGAAACGTCGAGCCGTAGCATCCTTGACGGTGCGTTCCTAGCGATGCATGGAGGCTCACTTCGCGGTTGCTCACATATTGTTGCAGTCCCAACCCACTTGCAGTGGTTGTGTTGTTTGCGCCGAACTTCTCTGTGGCGGTCTACGGCCGTCACGTCATCTTCCCGCTATAAGCTACGTGGCAGCTCATTGTTTGCGTCTTTTCGCATTACGGATCTCGCGTTGTCGTTGGCGGCAGGAAATGCGACAACTTGGAAACTTGCTCCGAGCGCGCCCCTTTGCTCTATTGCAGTGATAAAGATCGTTGCAGAAGTGTTGAAGAGGAACGGCATGCGAGGTGCCGTGGCCGGCCTCGTCCTTGGCTGGAGGGCCGTCGGGGGGTACGTTGATGGTAGCTTCGACGTGGATGTGGTTTCCTCCACGTGCAGCGAAGCCGTCGGACGGGGGATGAGCAAGACCGTTCAAGGTTGTTTTGGCAAGGTGCTGCTTGAGCTTGGAGGCAACAACGGTACGCGCACGCCGTTCTCTCCAGCCACTGAAAGCTCGAGCTTAAGCCGTCTACAGCTGCTGTCGTTATGCCCAGTGCTGACCTCAACATCGTCTTGCCCGCGGTCCTCCTTGGGCCTATCGGCACCGCCGGTCAGCACTGCACGATCATGACAGGCGGCGCGCCTTATAGCGACCTCGCGAGCCCGCTATCGCGATCCTGCACAGGGTGAATGCGGAGGACAGGGTGTGGAGCATGGACTCATCCGCCCCGGTGCTCACGGTGGGCGTGTTCGACGAGCGCGAGCAACCGATTGAGTGGAGCAACAGCCTGTCGCAGGGCTTGAGCAGTGACCTGTGGACTGGGGACGTCAGGAATGTCGAAAAGTGGGCAGGGCCTGCTGGCTCGGACGCTGAGATTGTCATTGTCAACGTCAGCACGAGCGGTGAGGAGATCGGGGCTGCGTTTGGCGGGTAACGTGGTATGTTTTTGGTGCCCAGTGTCTCAAAATTCTCATTGACATCCGGTCGTTCCATAGCACCGGTTGAGCGTGCGAGTCCGGCGGTGATGCTTGGAAGCAATAGAGCGCAGCTACGATCATATTCTCAGGTGAGACTCTCCTTGCGCAGGGCGTGCAGTCTTTGAACGCCGCATGAACGCTGCGTCTCATCATAGCCCAACGATGTTCGAAGTACGTGTTGAACCCGGGGGGGCGAAGGCCTCTCCCACGGGTGGCAACGACAGCAGATAGCCTGCAACTCACCTAGAAGGGTTGTTGGGTGTAAGAGGCTTATTAGAGCGATGAGAGGAGATGTTCGAGTGAACTGAACTGTTGATTGGGGGTACAGAGGTCCCCTATATATACTACTGTACATCTGTGGCTACGTAGTACTATACAGTACATTCCCAGGATGCACAGTCGCACAGTGAAGCAGTGCGTACACAGCAAAGCTGTGTGTGTACCACATGAGTAGTACAGCCTCGGTTATTGCAGTAACCGGCTGTGCCGTTCCATATCTTGTGACGGCTGTGTTAGGCAAGCTGTGTAAACCAGCGCCTGTTCAACACTCCCCCTCGCTAAGTATCCGAATGGTTACGCAAGCGTAGCAGGCGCTTTAAGCAGCTCTGGACTTTGGGAAGCGGAGACCAAGTTGTGAGCG